GCTTTTTCCTGAGTTCGGGGGTTAATCCCGTTCCCAGGTATACCTTTCGCTCGGGCAGGTACTATATCAATATAACATGTTCCAGCTCTTCGACAGTTGATTTGGTGGCATCAGAATCTTCGGGAACAATAAAAGTTCGAGGGGTCAGAAAATCCTCCTTTTCTTCTTCTATCTCCTGCTTCCCCAATTCGGTCGAGGATGGTGGCTGTGATTGCTATTTGACTTCATATTTACCTTTGATGCTCGACCTTTTCGAGGTTGATAGTGTCGATATCGGTGTTATCTCATCGACCGCAAACATTTCCTTTGCAGCATGGTGCTTCCCGTATACTGTTTTTACACCGTCTGACGTCGGGAATTTTATCATTTGGTGGAGAGTCGAAGGGACTGCCCTTATATTGTGGATCCAAGGCCTTTCAAGTAGGGCATTGTACCTCATGTCGCCCTCGATTACGTGAAACTTGGTATCTTGAATGGTTCCAGCCATGTTCACCGGTAGAATAATCTCCCCCTTAGTCGTTTCACTGGCCATATTGAAGCTGTTTAAGACCCGAGCTGTGGGCACGATTTTATTTTTTAGGCCGAGCTGCTCCACGACCCTCGATCGGATGATATTTGCCGAGCTACCTGGATCTACTAAAACACGCTTAACTTGAACTTTATTTAATAAGATAGAAATTACCAGAGCGTCGTTGTGGGGCTGAGAAATGCCTTTTGTTTCTTCGTTGTTGAATGATAAAGTGCCTTCGGGCACATAATCTCGGGTTCGTTTTTCCCTAGTGATTGATACCTTAGTGTGTTTGAATACGGGTCCCTGTGGAATGTCGACCGCACCGACGATCATATGAATGACATGTTGGGGTTCCTCCTGTTCATTTTTCCTGTTGGAGTCCCTTTCTCTGAAATGATTCTTGGCTCGATCACTGAGGAACTCTCGAAGGTGGCCCTCATTGAATAGACGGGCTACCCCCTCCCTTAATTGCCGGCAATCCTCGGTCTTGTGACCATGCGTGCCATGATACCTGCACATCAAATTTGGGTTTCTTTGGGAAGGATCGGTTTGTATGGGTCTGGGCCACCTAGAATCTCTGATCCTTCCGATTTTCGATACAATGCCCGATACATCAATGCTAAAGTTATATTCCGATAATTAAGGTTCCTCTGTGGGGTCGGCATACTTGTCAAAACCACTTTTGCTCATAAGTCCCCGAGAATTATGTCCTCGATCACTTCTTCAATCGTTCCAGGCGTAATTGCGTCCTGAATCGTTGTTTCTTCGATCTACGGTATAGGGTTGATATTGGTCTCTGTTCGACCTTGACTCCCTGTCGATGTCCCTCTGATTTTTAATTGCCGACCTGTTTGGATGTACTGAACTGGAAGGGGCTCCTAATTGGTCGTCATCGACCCTGATCTTCGATTGATATCGATTGTGCACATCTGCCCAAGATACAGCTAGATACTCGATCAAATTTTGTTTCAACTGATGTGATGCTATCGAACTCCGCTCGTTCAACCTTTGAGTGAAAGCTTGAACGGCCAATCATCTATGACCGGTGGCAACTCCATGCGTTCCATTTGAAATCGGGACACGAACTCCCTCAGCATTTCATTATCCCTTTGTCTTACCATGAAAAGGTTCGATTTCCTCGCCTCGACCTTTGTGGCCCCGGCGTGTGCCTTTACGAAAGAATCTGCTAACATGGTAAATGAGTCGATGGAATTTGGTGGCAGGTTGTGATACCAAATCATTGCTCCCTTCGAAAGGGTCTCTCAGAATTCTTTCAACAGTACAGATTCGATTTCATCATCTTCTAAATCGTTACCCTTGATGGAGCATGTATATGAAGTAACATGCTCGTTGGGATCGGTGGTCCTATTATATTTAGGTATGTCTGGCATACGAAACTTCTTTGGTATAGGCTTCGGAGCCACACTTGGAGGTAACGGCTTTTGTACAAACTTCTTTGAATCCATCCCTTTCAAGATTGGCGGTGCCCCCGATATCTGATCAACTCTAGAATTGTATGTTTCCACTTTTTTATCGTTGGCTTCGATTCTCTTCTCCCCTGATTCAGTTCTTTTGGTGAGCTCCTCGAGCATTTTTATTACCGCAGGATCAATCCCTGATTCATTACCATTCGACCTTTTCGGTACTGGCTCGGTACGGCGAGTAATTTCCGCTCGACCCTATTCAGAGCTCTATGTTGATTTTATAACTGAGAAATAGCAGCTTGCTGAGCCTGAAGCATCTCGAATATCACCTGGAGACTGACTCATTCATCTCATCTGCCCTGTGTTCCTTGGCCACTAGATCGGCCTTCTCTGCGTACACTCTCATCAAGATCTGCGCCTAGGTCCGCGTTTAGAGCAACATGCGAACTGACATCGACTGAGTTGGCAACCAGTGCTCCCCCGAGATCAGCCTGTGGCACCTTGACTCCTGGAGCAATCATATTTTTGTTTTCACCGTGGAATCCGAGGCCATTATCACCGTGTGTGGATGCGTTTTGTGAGTTTGACATGTTTTAACCTGAAAGTAAAGATACTTGACAAGAACAAGCGTAAAATAGTGTGTTTTACCAGAATCAGTACTGGACAATTACTATTATCCTTAGCCCCACGATGGGCGCCAAACTGCTTACCCTAAAAATTGAGTAACAATTAAACTTATATTGTGATTCTAAGGATATGTGATTTAAACCAGTATCAATTGATAAATAACGAATTGAATAGATAAATTGGACAATAAAATAAATCAAACCGGTCTGCAAATAATATCTCGACCTCGATTCGAGATAGTCTCGAGGTTGGTGAATAAGAACAGTAGAGGATGGAACAAGCAGTGATGAACAGTAAGTAAAACAAAGAAAGCAGCGTATGTATATATTCTTATCAGTGAATAATGATTCTCATGCCCCCTACAAGTGAATGGGATCTCTCTTTATATAATAGAGGAATCTTAAATAAGGTACAACTCTAATTACGGAAATAAATCTCATGATTAGTACCAATAACCGCTCTTGATTTGATATGTTCCTGGATTTTTGCCATGATTTTCGACCGGTTACGGATATCTTGCCGCTCTGTTATTATGCTCCCCTCGAAGTCGGTCATACTTGGTCTCGATTGTTACCGGCCTCAGTCTCAACGTACACTTTGATCTCTAGGCTCGATGTCTCATCTTCGAGCTCGGGTCTGATTTATTATGAGGCTACCTCCTATGCAACTCCCTTGTCTCGATCAAACAACAAAATCGGGTAGGCCCGATTTTGATCGTATACAACATGCTTTGCAATATACGGTAAACATAACATGTTTTAACTGCAAAAGAAAAGGGAAACAATAGTTGGGAATTCACGAAAGAGTACCTTGAAGTTCCCGAGAGTACCTTAAGGTTTCAAAATTTATTTTATATACATAGGGATAAAAGTATAAGTATAAAAAATTTTAACGGGTTAACGGTTTATCCGATAAGGAAATTGAGTAATCCGCCCCCAAACTGTTAAGCCGTTAATTATAAAATCTCAATCCGTTCACCAACCGTTACCCCGATAACTCAATACCAATAAGTCAATAAGCCATTTTTTTTTAATTCGGTTAACGGTTATTATTGTGAGCGGATTAAGTCCGATCCTTAATCACAATATAGTGGGGTCTATATTTTAAAAAGGAAATAAAGTCATCATTCTCTAGATTATTATATGCAAAAGCTCCTTTCTTCTTTCTACTTGATCCAAATATCTCTGGAATTCAGAATGTTGCAGAAGAAATAATATTTGGTACGTCATATCTCACCCGCTTTCAATAACATAACGAGATATATTCATTGCCTTAACAAGTTAGTAAAATTACAGAAATGATACATAGTACATTCAATAGAAAACGTTTATTTCCAATCTTTACTTGAGGAACTTATACTTTTTAATACGTGCCGTCTGATTCTAACGAAGAGTTTGTGGACAGCATATTTCCTGATTTAGGTCTGTATTTAAACCGCTGATTTATTGTACTCTTACTTTCTTGCGTTAGTAACCATTGGATTGTCTATAGTGACAACAAGATGTTATTTGAGAAATATAGAACAGTCGACATACACACAAACCAATAAGAGATGCACACGCTTTGGAGTGTGAAAAGTAAGGAAAGATAGTTGAAATGCAACGTTAAAAGATACAGAAAAAAACTTCTTCATAGTTATATAATAAGCCAAGCACCACGAGTCCTTTAGTACACCATAATTACTCTGGTTTTTACTTAAAAAATAAAAAACGCCATTTGGTTGCTCACAACCTCAAAACTCCCAAAGACGCCTTTATTCTATTAACATCTTTTAAATATACAAGAAATAGTGAGAGAGAGAGCGAGAGAGAGTTTGTTTTGTGGGGGGGGGGGGGGAATTTTTTT